CAAAAGCTAATAAGTAGCATGGCTCTTATGCTCTAGCCACACTAGCTTTGTGGTTGGTTCCTCATCACCATTCTTGTTGTTCACTTTGCCTGGAATGCCCAGAATGCTTATCCCCTTGACCTTCACTATCATGTAGATACCCCCTTAAGAGTCACTGCCTCTGTCTTGCTGCCGGATTTAGATATAATGCCATCCTGTTTTTGTTCTCTGCAAGGCTCTCTGACATTTTTATGATATATTTATTTGTCAGTTGTCTGATTTCCCCCCAAGACTGTTATGATCCATAACAGTTAGAAACTTTGCCTTTTTCATACCATATCCTCAGTACCTAGAACTCAACATGGCACATAGTAGGCATTCGTTAAATATTTTGAATAAGTGAACAAATGATTGTTGTATTATTTTTTTTTTCAAGATTTTATTTATTTATTTGACAGAGATCACAAGTAGGCAGAGAGGCAGGCAGAGAGAGAGGAGGAAGCAGGCTCCCCGCTCGATCCCAGGACCCTGAGATCATGACCTGAGCTGAAGGCAGAGGCTTAACCCACTGAGCCACCCAGGCGTCCCTGTTGTGTTATTATTATAAGGTAGATGTAATTCATGAGCATCTCACATTTCTAAGTGAACATTTTTATATAGCTACACAGAAATATTTGTTTTTTTCCTCTTATCCCATGTGTTATTTTCTAGGTTCAGTGATTTAAGGGCAAGGCAGTAAATATTTCAGGCTTGCTGTCTTTATACTCACCTCAGCTATTGTAGTGAAAGCATCTGTAGACGAATGAGTGTGGCTATGTTTCAGTTAAACTACAGGTGTACCTAATTTTAATTGTACTTCATTGCACTTTTCACATACTGCATTTTTTTACAGACTGAAGGTTTGTAGCAACGCTGCATTGAGCCAAGTCTCATCAGTACCATTATTCTATCTACATTTGCTCACTTCGTGTCTCTCTGTCACATTCGGGTAATTCTTGTAATATTTCAAACCTTATCATTATTACTATTTATGTTGGTGATCTGTGATCAGTAGTCTTTGATGTTACTATTATAATTGATTTGGGGGCACCATGAACTGCACCCATATAAGATGGCAGACTTAATCCATAAATGTTGTGTGTCGTGACCACTCCACCAACTGGCTATTCCCCTACCCCTATCTCTCTACCTCTCCTCTGTCCTCGTTATTCGCTGAGACACTGCAGTGTTGAAATTGGGTCAGTGAATAACCCTATGATGACCTCTAAGTGTTCAAGTGAAAGGAAGAGTCCCACATCTCATAGTTTAATTTAAAAACTAGAAATGATTAAGCTTAGTGAGAAAGGCATATCAAAACCTGAGATGGACTGAAAGCTAGGCCTCTTGTGCCAGCTAGCCAAGCTGTGAATGCAAAAGAAAAGTTCTTTTTTTTTTTTTTTTTTAAAAAGATTTTATTTATTTATTTGACAGAGATTACAAGTAGGCAGAGAGAAAGAGGGGGAAACAGGTTCCCTGCTGAGCAGAGAGCCCGATGTGGGGCTCGAACCCAGGATCCTGGAATCATGACCTGAGCCGAAGACAGAGGCTTTAACCCACTGAGCCACCCAGGTGCCCCAAAAGAAAAGTTCTTGAAGGAAAACTAAAACTTCTATTCCAGCGAACACATGAATGAAGAGAAAGCAAAACAGCCTTATTGCTGATAATGGTAAAGTTTGAGTGGTCTGGATAGAAGAACAACCAGCCACCATCTTCCCTTAAGCCAAAGCCCAATCCAGAGCAAGAGCCTAAATCTCTTCAATTCCATGAAGTCTGAGAGAGGTAAAGAAGCTGCAGAAGAAAAAGTTTGAAGCTAACAGAGGTTATTCATGAGTTTTAAGGAAAGAGGTCATCTCCATAACAAAAGTGCCAGGTAAAGCCCCTAGTGTTGCTGTTGAAGCTGCAGCAAGTTACCCAAGTTACCCGGAAGTTAACCAGATCTAGCTGAGATAGTCATGAAGGTAACCATACCAAACACTAGATTTTCTTCTTTCCTTTTTTAAAAGACACAGCAACAGCAGGAACACAAGCAGGGAAAGTGAGAGAGAGAGAAGCAGGCTTCCCACTGAGCAGGGAGCCCAATGCGGGACTTCATCCCAGGACCCTGGGATCATGACCTGAGCCGAAGGCGGACGCTTAATGACCGAGCCACCCACGCATCCCTAACACTAGATTTTCAACGAAGATGAAACAGCTTCTACTGGAAGAAGACCCCATTTAGTACTTTCTTAGCCAGAGAGGAGATGTCAATACTTGGCTTCAGAGGACAAGTTGACTGTCTTATTAGAGGCTAATGTAGGTGGTAACTTCAAGTTGAAGTCAAGTGCTCACTGTTCCCCAAATTCTAGGGTTCTTAAGAATTATTCTGATTCTGTTCTGCTGTGCTCTGTAAATGGAACAAGCCTGCATGACAGCACATCTGTTTACAGCATGGTTTACTGAATATTTTAAACCCGCTGAGACTTAATTGCTCAGAAAAAAAGAGATTCCTTTCAAATTATTACTGCTCCTGGACAACGTACCTGGTTACTCAAGAGCTGTGATGATGATCTCCAACAAGGTGAATGTTGCTTTCATGCCTCCTGACACACCATGGAGTCTGTAGCCCATGGATCAGGGAATCGTTTTAACATTCAGGTCTTGTTACTTAAGAAATACATTTCCTCAGGCCAGGGCTGCCACACACAGTGATTTCTGTGATGGATCTGGGCAAAATAATAATCTGGTCTCTATATCCGTAAACTCTGTTTGCTTTCTGTTTTTATATTCCACAATAAATGAGATCATATAGTATTTATGTTTTTCTTTGTGACTTCCTTCACTTAGCCTGATGTCTTCCCAGTCCATCCTTGTTGTTGCAGATGGCAGAGTAATATCCCATTGTGTATGTTTACCACGTTTTCCTTACCCATTTGTACACTCGTGGACATTTAGCTTGTGTCTATGTCTTGGCTATTGTAAGTAATGCTGCAGTGAAGTGGGGGGGTGCATATATTTTCAAACTAGAACTTTCCTTTTCTTTAGATAAATACCCAGAAGTGGAATTGCTGAGTCATATGGTGATTCTATTTTTAATTTTTTGAGGAACTTCCATACTGTTTTCCATAGTGGCTTGCACCAAATTACATTCCCACCAGCATTGCATAAGGGCTCCCTTCTCTCCATGTCCTCATCAACACTTGTTGTTTTTTGTCTTTTTGATAATGGCCATAGAATGTATAATTTTTGAAGCGTTTTTTGATTAATTCCTTTCATATTTAGGGTTAGGATATACAGCATATTTTTACATTATGATCTGTTTTCCCATTTTAGTTCAAGTAGGATGACTTCTAGACATACACACCAAAGCAAGTCTGGTCCTCTTAGAGAACAAATTACAAAATGATTTGTGTAGTTAATTGCAGTAATTGCTTAGATGAGGTTGTAATTGGTGTGGCACAATCGTAATAATCACTAACATTCCTTGGGTTGTTACTACATTTCACATGCATTATCTGTTTTTTTTTTTTTTTAAAGATTTTATTTATTTATTTGACAGAAAGAGATCACAAGTAGGCAGAGAGGCAGGCAGAGAGAGAGAGAGGGAAGCAAGCTCCCTGCTGAGCAGAGAGCCCGATGCGGGACTCGATCCCAGGACCCTGAGATCATGACCTGAGCCGAAGGCAGCGGCTTAACCCACTGAGCCACCCAGGCGCCCTCATTATCTCTTTTAATTCTCACTAGTACTCAAATATAGGTAGCAGTATACCTGATTTACCAGGTGAGGAAACTCAAGCTTAGAAGTATTAAAAGACGTTTCACAAGACCTTGAAACTCTAGAAGGTTGCAGATCCAGACTTAAAGACGAGGTCTTTCTGCAGAGCTCATACATAACCGGCTAAGCACAAAGACTCTGTTGTTGCTTTTCCCCCAGCAACTCCAAGTCTTGAGTTATTGCTGTAATGCAGAAAGGGTATTATTACAAAGTAACAAGGCTGATTTGAAAAATTCCATGCTCCTCGTTCTCTTTACTATATAGTCATCTCTATTTTAAGGTTTATCATATTATCGTTTCTAAACATCCTAAAATGTCTCAGCATAGGGTGAACATAAAAGGATGATGTATGTCTGCGATCGTTTTTTTCTTTTTACATTTTTTGGAAAATTGATAAGCACATGGTTCCCAAATTAAATTGTGGAAAAAGAGACATTGGAAACTTCAGCTTTCATCTCTGTCAGAGTCTGCTCCTCCATCCCTTCTCAACCCCTGTGGTATCCATTTTTATTAGTTTCTTATTTATTCAGCCACTGCCTATGCAAATACAAGCAAAAAGGGAAAAAAATAGATCGCTCCCTTTCAAAGATACATTTTCTAGAAATAGAATCGGTTTTTTTCTCGATCTGCTTCTAATTTTCAGTGAGAAAAAAATCTCATTAACAGAGTTTACTCTCTTTCTAGTCGTCTTCCTCTACAGTTTACAGCTTCTCCTTTGGGAAGTCTATTAACGTGCAATAGGAGTCTCTGTCACAGGTGCTTTTTTTTTTTTTTTTAAGATTTTATTTATTTATTTGACAGAGATTACAAGTAGGCAGAGAGGCAGGCAGATAGAGAGAGAGAGAGTTAAGCAGGCTCCCCACCGAGCAGAGAGCCCGACATGGGGCTCAATCCCAGGACCCTGAGATCACGACCCGAGCCGAAGGCAGAGGCTTTAACCCACTGAGCCACCAGGTGCCCCTGTCAGAGGTGCTTTTTTAAAAAAATTCCTTAATTTAGATAAGTGAACTGCACTAGATCACAGTGTATTTGAAAATGATTTTTAGTAGAAAAAAGGCCCCCAAAGCTGGACTACTCTTCAGTGTGGTCTATGTTAGTATTTGATTCTGCTGGTACAGTATATCTAGTATGGTAACATTCATTAAAAAATAAAACATGACTTTTCTAATAAAGATTATCCCTTTTTGGTTAAGTCCAATGGCTAACTTTCCTTTCTTCTTATTCATTATAGTTGAGGCAGTCCCAGTCCTACTGCACAGACACGGAATGTCTTCAGGAATGTAAGTAATGATGGGACAGGAAGAACCTTAGCATTGGGGGCAGAATTAGAGGACAGAGAACTGTGAATATTTGTCAGAATTTCTTACAGTTTACTGTTTAAGGAAATGGTTCTCAGTAATGTATTTCCTACTTAAATATTTCGTTTTTTAATTAAAAATTTTTTTTGCCTCGAAAACAAACTCTGGTCATTGAAGAAAATTTTAAAATCATAGATAAGAAAAGACTTCCAGAATACTAAAAGATAACCATTATTGACAACTTGGTGCAAAACCTTTCAGACCTTTTTCTTGGCAAACATACGTGTAACAGCACACTTTTGGCTGGTCCTACCAGACCATCAAGGCTGCTAGCACAAACCCCTCACCCTTTCTCTATAATCTCTTTGCATCTATTGGCAGCTTTGGGAACCTCTGAATGAAGGGAGGAAGCCATTCTTTCCTATGGTTTGGAAACTTGGGGCCTTTTGGTTCTGACATTGGCATTTTCAAGAGAGCATAGGCAGTTGGGAGGTTTCTCAGTGTAGCTTTATGGCAATGTTGATATATAAAGTGAGATGTGAGCAGGAAGATGGATCCTGCATTGTGAATATAGCAGAGAGACTTCGTGACTATTTTTTTTTTTTTAAGATTTATTTTAGAGTGAGAGGGTGCACACAAATAGGGGGAGGGGCAGAGGGAGAGAGAAAGGAAAGGAATAGAAAGGAAAGGAAAATTCCCCACTGAGCACGAAGCCAACTTGAGGCTCGATCTCACAACCCATGGGAGCTAAAACCCAGAGTTGAAGGCTCAACCAACTGAGCCACCCAGGTGCCCCTAGACTGGCTATTAGGTGAGACATCTTTTTTTTTCAGGACACAAATGACTTGAGGGGAACTAATAACTAACATTTAAGCCAGTTCTGTCGTAGGCCATAATAATTTGACTAAGAATGGAAGTGTGACATTAATGGGAGGCTGAAACCTGGTACAATTAATTTTAAAACACTTGGGAAAATGGAATCACTTTGTGTTGTTTTTCACTACTGTATTATAAACATATCAGTATATATTTATCTTAAAAAATAGTAACTGACTAAATAATAATACTTTATGGGGATATACCAGTGTTTGTATGTTTGTTTGTTTAAAGATTTTATTTATTTATCTGACAGGCAGAGATCACAATTAGGCAGAGAGGCGGGCAGAGAGACAGCGAGGTGGAAGCAGGCTCCTTGCTGAGCAGAGAGCCTGATGGGGGCTCGATCCCAGGACCCCAGGATCATGACCTGAGCCAAAGGCAGAGGCTTTAACCCACTGAACCACCCAGGCGCCCCTCTGTTTAAAAAAAAAAAAATATATATATATATATATATATATATATATATATAGTTAGTTAGTTAGTTAGTTAGTTATTTAGTTAGTTAGTTAGTTAGTTAGTTAGTTAGTTATTTTAGAACACGAGCTTGTGCATGCAAGCCGGGGAGGGGTCAGAGGGAAAGGGCTAGATAATCTCCAGCAGATTCCCTGCTGAGTGTGGAACCAGACTTGGGCCTTGAGCTCATGACCGTGACTTCATGACCTGAGACGAAATCAAGAGTTGGATGCTTAACTGACTTAGCCACCCAAGCACCCAGGTATATTCCAGTGTTTAAATTATTTCCTTTCATTGAAATTTTAAGCTGCTGGTATATTTTTTGCTATTACAAATAATAGTTGAACAAGCATCCTTTGTATGCACATTTTTAAGTTGTTTTTTTACCTTCTCCTTCCACTTCACTTTCTCCCACCCTTCACTTCCCTCTGGCAATCACCAGTAGTTTCTTTGTGTCTATGAGCTTGTTTTGTTTTGTTAGATTCCACATATAAGTGAGATAATAGGCATTTGTCTTTCTCTGTCCTCCTTATTTCACATCCATCCATGTTGTCACAATGTCAAAATTTCATTGTTTTTGTGGCTAAAAAATATTCTCTTGTATATGTACACTGCAAGTTCTTTATCCATTCATTCCTTGATGGACATTTGATTGTTTCCAGCTCTTAGCTCTTGTAAATAGTGCTACATTGAACATAGGTGTGCGTATATCTTTTTGAATTATGTTTTCATTTTCTTTGTAAAAAAACAAGAAGTAGAATTGCTAGATCTTATAATGGTAATTGTTTAAATTTTTTGAGAAAACTACATACTGTCTTTCATAGTGGCTGCTCCAGTTTACCTTCCTACCCACAGTGCACAAGGGCTCTTTTTCTCTATAGCCTCACCAACACTTATTTCCTGTCTCTTGGGTGATAGACTTTCTAACAGGTATGAGATGATATCTCATTATGCTTTTGTTTGCATTTCCTGATGATTAGTGATTTTGATCTGTTGGCCATCTGCGTCTTCTTTGGGAAAATGCTTATTCAAGTCTTCTGATGATTTTTTTTCACTATTTTTTTTTTTTTTTAAGATTTATTTATTTGTCAGAGAGTGAGAGGAGCGAGAGCGAGAACAGGCAAACAGAGTTGCAGGCAGAGGCAGAGGGAGAAGCAGGCTCCCTGCCCAGCAAGGAGCCCGATGTGGGACTCGATCCCAGGACACTGGGATCATGACCTGAGCCGAAGGCAGCTGCTTAACCAACTGAGCCACCCAGGTGTCCCTTCTGATGATTTTTTAACCAGATTGTTTTTTGCTATTGAGTTATATAGGTTCTTTATATATTTTGAATATTAACACAAAATATTAACACAAAAAATATTCAAATATTTGAATACTTCTATGATTTGCAAATATTTTCTTTTTTTTTTTTTCTTTTTTTTAAGATTTATTTTAGGGGGCGCCTGGGTGGCCCAGTGGGTTAAAGCCTCTGCCTTCGGCTCAGGTCATGATCCCAGGGTCCTGGGATCGAGTCCCGCATCGGGCTCTCTGCTTAGCGAGGAGCCTGCTTCCTCCTCTCTCTGCCTGCCTCTCTGCCTACTTGTGATCTCTCTCTCCATCAAATAAATAAAATATTTTTTTAAAAAAAGATTTATTTTAGACATTGAGCATGCGCTCAGTGGGAAGGAGCAGAGAGAAAGGGAGAGTCCAAAGCAGACTCTGTGCTGAGCGTGGAACCCGATGCAGGGCTCGATCTCATGACCCTGAGATCACAACCTGAGCTGAATGCTTAACTGACCGTACCATCCAGGCATCCCCATCTTTTTTTAAAGAGCAAATATTTTCTTGTATTCAGTAGGTTACCTTTTTATTTTGTTGATTGCTTTCTTTGCTGTGCAGAAGTCTTTTAGTTTGGGGTGCCTGGGTGGCGCAGTTGGTGAAGCGTCTGCCTTCGGCTCAGGTCATGATCCCAGGGTCCTGGGATCAAGCCCTGCATCGGGCTCCCTCCTCGATGAGGAGCCTGCTTCTCCCTTTCCCTCTGCTGCTCTGCCTGCTTGTGCTCTCTGGCTCTCTCTGCCAAATAAATAAATAAAATCTTAAAAAAAAAAAAAAGTTTGGTAGAACTCATCAATGAAGCCATCTGGCCCTGGACTTTGGTTTATTGGGAGGTTTTTCATTACTGATTCTTCTCCTTACTAGTTATCAGTCTGTTCAGATTTTCTGTTTTATCGTAGGCTGCATGTTTCTAGGAATTTATTCATTTCTTGGTATATGATTATATACCAAGAATATGGTATATGATGATTCATACTAGTCTGTTTTCATCCTTTATATTTCTGTACTGTCAGTTGTAACATCTCCTCTTTCATTTCTGATTTTAGCTGAGTCCTGTCCCTCTTTTTTCTGGTTAGTCTGACTAAAGGTTTGTCAGTTTTGTTTATCTTTTCAGAGACTCAGTATTGATCTTTTCTGTTACCTTTTTAATTTATGTATCATTTATTTCTACTCTAGTCTTTGGTATTTCCTTATATCTACTGATTCTGGGCTTCCTTTGTTCTTTTTTTTTTTCTCTCTAGCTTTTGGGGTGTAAAATTAAACTGAGACGTTTCTTATTTCTTGAGGTAGACATTTATCACTCTGAACTTCCCACTTAGAACTGCTTTTGCTGCATCCCCTAAATTTGGGTGTTATATTTCCATGTTTGTTTGATTTGGGATATTTTTGGATTCTATAAAAAAAATTTTTCTGGGGCACCTAGCTGGTTCAGTTGGTAGAGCATGTAGCTTTTGATCTTAGGGTCCTGAATTCAAGCCCCATGTTGGGTGTGGAGCCTACTTTAAAAAATAATAAATAAATAAAATAAAAGTGGGTGAATACTGTCTTTAAAAATTTTTGTTCTTCTTTAATCTACTGGGTGTTCAGTAGTGTGTTTAATCTCTATATATTGGTGAATTTTCCAACTTTCTTTGTATAATTGACTTCTAGTTTTATGTTGCTGTGGTTGGAAAGATGCTTAGTATGATTTCAGTGTGGTCAACATCTGATTTGTTCTAGAGAATGTTCTGTGTACACTTGGGAAGAGTGTGTATTGTGTTGCTTTTGGCTGGACAGTTAAGTCCATCTAGTCTGGTGTGTCATTTAAGGCTGATATTTCCATATTGATTTCCTGTCTAGGTGATCTGTCCACTGATGTAAGTGAGGTATTAAAGTCTCCTACTATTACTGCATTGCTATCTGTTTCTCCATTTAGGTCTGTTAATATTTGCTTTATATATTAGGTGTTCCTATAAATATTTGCAAATGTCATATCCTCCTAGTGGATTTACCCCTTCGTTATGTAATGCCCTTATTTGTCTCTTACAGTCTGTATTAAAATTATTTTATCTGATATGAGTATAGCTACTCCAGCTTTCTTTTGGTTTCTGTTTGCATGAAATATCTTTTTCTGTGCCTTCACTTTCAGCCTGTGTATGTCATTACATTTGAAGTGAGTCTCTTACAGGCAGCATATAGATAGGTCTTGTTTTTTTTTAATCCATTCAGCCACTCTGTGCTTTTTTTTCCCCTCCAAGTAAGCTCTGCACCCAACATGGGGCTCAAATTCATGACCCTGAGATCAAAAGTCACATGCTGACGGAGCCAGCCAGGCTCCCCACCACTCTGTGTCT